CCAGGCTGGTCTCAAACTCCTGAACTCAGGTGATCCACCAGCCTCGGCCTCCCAAAGTGTTGGGATTACAGGGGTGAGCCACTGCGCCTGGCCGAGCCGTTCTTTAGAACTGGGATTTATACAAAACAAATCATACCTTACCTGGGTGGCCGCAGACCTTGGATTGCTGAGGGTAAACCGAGTCTGGTTGGGGCTGCCTGGCTAGCTAGCGTGGGGATCACCTGACCCATCAGGCTTCCTCTGGGAGCCTGGGAAGAACTCTCTTGCCATGGATGGTTCTGGAAGCTTTTTGAAGGAGGGACTTTCTGATTTCTGATCTCCCTTGGGAATCTGGATAAATTCTCTTTCACTTCTCCCCTGGGCGTGTGTGTAGTAGGGTGACTCACAGAGCTGACTTGGACCTTTTTTTGTGCTTTCTGCATTCCTGGGATTCTGGCAGCCTGGGCCTGGGATCTGCTCTGCCACCCTGGGTGGCATGAAACTCTCAGCTCTGGCGGCTAAAAGGCTGCATTGTTGGGGGGCTGGGACACCCTGACTCTTCTCCCCAGTCATTGTTTTCTGTCTCTGTCTCATCTCCCCCGGCTCCCCCTGTGTCATTGCTGGTCCTCCAAGATGGTGGAAGACACTGTGGTTTGTCTCTTTGGAGTCTCGCTCTGTCGCCAAGGCTGTAGTGCAATGGCATGATCTTGGCTCTGCAGCCTCCGCCTCCCAGGTTCAAGCGATTCTCCTGCCTCAGCCTCCTGAGTAGCTGGGACTACAGGCACGTGCCACCATGTCCAGCTAGTTTTTGTATTTTTAGCAGAGATGGGGTTTCACCACCTTGGCCAGGATGGTCTTGATCTCCTAACTTCAAGTGATCCGCCCACTTTGGCCTCCTAAAGTGCTGGGATTACAGGCTTGAGCCACTGTGCCCAGCCGTGGTCTGCCTCTTGTGCAGTGAGATCCAGCAGGGTGTCACATGTGGGTGTGCAGGCTGCTGCATTGCTGACATTTGTGCACGTGTCCAGGAGAGAACACTTTGATTGGCTGACACTCTCTGTCCGGGAAGTCTGAACTTCCCTTTGGGTTCCTGTTCAGGAACCCCATGGGGGTGCCATTTACCTTTTTGCAGATTAGAGTTTAGACCAGGAGTTAGCCAGTAGCTCACGGGCCGAATCTGGGCTGCTGCCTGTTTTTGTAAATAAAGTTTTATTGGAACACAGCCACTCGCATTCATCACATAGTGTCTACAGGTGCCTGGAGTTGCAACAGTAGAGTTGTGTCGTTGCCACAGAGACTGTAGCACCCACAAAGTCTAAGATACCTACCGTCTTTACAAAGGAAGTTTGTCCACCCCGGTCTCAGCATTTCTTTAGCTCTGATGACTTGTTAACTTCCTTTTTGTCCCCTTTCCAATTTCAGACATTCTTTCTTCCTATGCAAGGCAAGGACGGGAATCGACATTTATTAGATGCCTGCTGTGTACTAACTAGCACTATGCTAAGTTCTTTATATGCATGTCTCACTTAACTCTCACAGCAGTCCTGGTGAACTTGGTACTATTTTTCTCATTTTACAGAGAAACTGAATCGCAGACATAAGTGCCTTGCTTGATGTGAATAGTAGAGCAGAGATTCGAACTCACGATGGGCTGTTCTGCACAGTCATGTCACTTCTCTTGGTTGTAACTGCTGAACGGCAGGGTCTTGGCTAAATAATGGCTTTGTGTTAGGCTAGAAGCTTCACATGGCAGTATCCACCTTGTAACCTCAGTGCCTAAGACACAGCCTGGCACACGGTGGGCCTTTAGTGGTAATTTATTGTCGTGTTATATGGGGAGGTGCTCAGTACATGTGGCACATTATCTTA